ACTAACCTAAGTGTGGTGGCGCACACTAACCTAAGTGTGGTGGGGTACACTAGCCTAGGTGTGGTGGGGCACACTAACCTAGGTGTGGTGGCACACACTAACCTAAGTGTGGTGGGGTACACTAACCTAGGTGTGGTGGTGCACACTAACCTAAGTGTGGTGGGGTACACTAACCTAGGTGTGGTGGCACACACTAACCTAGGTGTGGTGGTGCACACTAACCTAAGTGTGGTGGAGTACACTAACCTAAGTGTGGTGGAGTACACTAACTTAGGTGTGGTGGGGTACACTAACCTAGGTGTAGTGGTGTACCCTGCAATTCCAGCATTTGAAAGGGAGGCAAGAGTATTAGGAGTTCAAGGACAGCCTCAGGCGTACAGAGTTTTGAGGTTAGCCTTGGCTACATGAATCCCTGTCTAATGCCCAAACCTCCCCCCAAATACATACACACTACATGTATACATGGTGATACACGCCTGCAGTACCCGCTGCTTAGGAGACTGAAGTAGGAGAATGGCCTGAGCCCAGGAGTTTAAGACCAGCCTACAAAATATAGTGAGAGCCTATCATATATATATATATATGTATATATATACACATATATATATATGTATATATGATGTGTGTGTATGTATATATATGGTGCATACTAATGATTTGGCAAAGTGGAACAAATCATAGTAGCTTTGCACTATGCCAAGGAAGCTAAATTAGAACTGGATTTTGTTTATTTGTTTGTTTTTCAGAGGTCCTTCATCTGTGTGCTTCTGGAGTAAGGTTAGCCACTACCAAAACCGTGTGAGGTCAGGAAAGATCATGTCAGGCAGCTACAGCTGTGGTCAGAGGTTGAGAGAGGAGGCACTGGCTCACTTCATCGTGACGTAGTAGTTGGGTGCACGGCTCCTCTAACGCCTGCCAGAGCCTTCCTAAGCCAGGTGTGCGTCTAGCTCCTTAAAGAAGGACTCAGAAATGTCTGCATGCCACCACATCACTGAAAGGAGATTTTAGAGACGGTGGGTGGCGTGCTCTGCCACACTTCACAATTATTTCTCTTCTTACCTCAGGTTCGGGACTAGAAGTGGAAACAGCGGTTCCTACAGACGGTTTAAGCTGTTCTCCCAGTTGCCGCACACCAGACCCTTGGGTGTTCCCAGCAGTTCCGCTTTCCCGATTAAGCCCAACTAATATCAAGTATTAAGAAGATAGCCAGATGGGGGCAGTGGCTTTTACCAGTAGAACCAGCACTGGGGAGACAGGAGGTTGCCAAGAGGTAGAGGCCAAACTGGATGACAAGGAAACACTAGACAATCTGGACTACAAAGTGACAACTTGTCTTAAAAGAAAGACAGGGCTGGAAAGATGGCTCGGTGGTTAAAATGCTCTTCAGAGGCCCCTAGTTCAGGTGCCAGCACCCATTTTAAGTGGCTCACAAGCACCTATAACATTGAGCTTCTGGGGCAATATATTCATGTGCATAAATTCATACATAGATTTATATAATACACATAGTTAAAATAATACAAATTAATATATTTTATCTTTGTAATAAGGAAGGGTGGAAGAAGAAAGAAGACAAACTAATGGTTTTCTGTAATCCCATCCCAACAAGGCCGCTGTCAGAGTCTTAGTATGGAGTGGTTTTTTAAAAACTTTTTAAAATTATTGTTTTATGTGTATGGATATTTTGCCTGTGCACCACATACATGCAGAGGCCAGAAAAGGGCATTGGATTGCCAGAAACTGGAGTTTCAGACAATTGTGAGCCACCATGTGGATGCTGGGAATTGAACCCAGGTCCTCTGGAAGGGCAGCCAGAGATCCTAACTACTGGCCTGGCCATCTCTGCTTAGCATTTCTTCCTGCCTGAGCCACTTTTGTTGATGAGGAGAAGCCCAAGGCAGGCTAAGTGACTAAGAAGGCCAGCCTCCCTTGTCTGCCACTTGCTCTCAGCTTTAGAGTCCCTGAATGAGCCTTCCTTCCTCTGGCCTTCCTGCTTTCAGCCCTGCAGCATTGTAAAAACACTTTTTTCTAATTTAAAACAAATTCGTTCTGCTTTGCTTTTTTCTTCTCCGTTTTTTTTTTCTTTTCTTTTCTTTTCTTTTCGTTTCGTTTTTAACACAGGCTGTTATGTAGCCCAGGCTGGCCTCAAACTCACCAAGTAGCCAAGAGTGTTTTCACCTCCCAAGGGCTGAGATTACAGGTGTGCAGGGCCACAGATGTCTCAAACTGGCCGTTCAATATGTATTTTTCTGGGCCTTCTAGCCAGTGACTTTTACAGCTTCCCTGTTTTGATTTACACTAATTTGAAGAAATTTCATCTTCTTATATCTCTTCAGGTTTAAAAAAAATCATTTAAACCAAACTTTTGCTGTGTCATTAGTTTAGAGCTCTAACCACAAAAGTGGTTACCACCAGGAGGCCAGAGTGAAGCCTGAGGTCCTCCCTGTTCAGGGAGGGAACACCGGTTTCCCAGATGTGAGTTAAAACTGTAGTCCTTTGGTTTCTGAATTACTATCTCAAAGTTGCTGTTTCTTCTCCTCCTCCTCCTCCTCCTCCTCCTCCTCCTCCTCCTCCTCCTTTTCCTCCTCCTCTTCCTTCTTCTTCTTCTTCTTCTTCTTCTTCTTCTTCTTCTTCTTCTTCTTCTTCTTCTTCTTCTTCTTCTTCTTCTTCTTCTTCGTCTACTACTACTACTACACCACTATAAGAACTCTCAAAAGTAGGAGAACACTGCACAGAATGAGTGATTCCCCCAGGAACAATGATAAGCAATTGGTATGGCAAATACTTTGATAGAACCAGATTTTGGGATACATGTCAGTGTCCAGCACATGGGAGGCTCAGGCAGTATGATCCACCTGAACTTTGGAGCAAAACCCTATCTTGAAAGTAAAGAAAGGGCACAGGTTGTGGGCAAGGAGACAAACTCGGCTTGCTTTGCAGTTTCGCCGAGTCTCCTGAACACTGAGGGATGGGTACTTTTTCTTTCTTTGCTAATTTGCTTTGATACAGAATCTTGCTCTATAACCCTGGCTGACCTGGAACTCATGTGTGTCTCTACCCCTCAAGTGCCAGGATTAAAGCCACCATGCCCATGTTGGACAACTTAGTTTTCTAAGAGCAAGAGTTAATAGGACATTTTTGTTTAACCCGAGCCTTGACCTTGACTCTGTCCTCATTTGGAAAGTGGACATACACTAGGGAGCAGATTTGCTTCCTTCAAGAGAAGAAAACCACAGAGGAGTAACTGAGGGCAGAGTGTCATTTAGAAACTAGTCCCGGTGAAAAGTGGGTGCTACACGCCTTTCTTACATGTCACTTCTGCCTGGCTCCCTTAGTGAAGAGGAACAAAAAGTAGATGTTATATCTGGGGTTTTTTTTTTCTTTTTTTTCTTTTCTTTTCTAATAGCTGCAGATACTGATGGCCTATTTTTGACCAGTTCCTGCTACCGTCCCCTCAATGGGACAGTTGGCCCGCAGGTTGACTGATGAGCTTGAGCCCCAGGCTGGCAGGGAAGCCACAGCTCAGAGCACTGGGGCACCCAGGGGTAACATTATCCTGCCAGAGCTGAACAAGGAACTGAGTGTTTAGAATAACTTCAAGAAAGTCGTGGGCGTTTCCTCTGTCGGGGAAACAAGAAACCACAGTGAGATAATGGATAGCTATATTCAGTCACAGATTATCAGCTGCCACTGCTGCTTCCTGCTCGGAATTTGATAAAACTTCTTTCTAGTCACCGAGGCTGGTGGATATTAAGCATGGGAGCCACAGAGCTTCAGAGTTCCGCCTGGGTTCTCCAGAGGTGGAACTGTTTTGGGGGGATAAAGCTTCGGGAGTCAGTTTCTGTTTGTTGTTGTTTTGTTTTTGTAGGTTTATGTAGGTCAAGCTGGATTCAGATTCTCTAAGTACCAAGGATAACCTTGAACTTCTGTTCCTCTTACATCCACCTCTTGAGTGCTAGAATTACAGGTGTGCACCACCATGCCCAGTTTCTGCAACGCTAGGGACAAAACTGAGGACTTTGAACAAGCAAAGGTCCAACCAGTGGAGCCACATCCCCAAGCCCAGGACCTGGTTTGTACTAGAGAAGATGGTGGATAAGGGACCGACAGCAAGGATTGATTTTACTAAAGCTTACAGAATTTGTCAGGCTCTTGTGCTAAGAGATCTTTCATGCATTATCTCATTTGATTTTCAAAATCACCTTAAGAGAAAGTAATGCCCAGTGATCACTCAGAATGGTAGCACTGGGAACCAGAACAGAACTTTTCTCCTTCCTGCCTCCTTCTTTTCCTTCCTCCCGTCTTTCTTCTTTCCTTCTTTCCCCTTCTTCCTCAATTTTTCTCTCTCTCTTTCTTTCTATTTATACACTTGTAGCCTCTATCCAGAGCAACGTTGGCTATTTCCTTCATTCCTCAGAGTTCTGTCGTACCCCTTTCTAGTAAATATTTGTTATCCTGATCCCCAAAATAACCAATGCTTTTATTTCTATCCTCAAAAGCTGTTTTTTTAACCTATTCTTAAACTTCAGACCTTGTATCTGGCTTGGTTTGCTGCACAGAGTCTATGTGCGGTGTGTTCTCAGTGTTGTACGTAGCACATTGTTCCGTTTTGACTACTGAGCTGCATTCCATTTTGTGAACTTACCTAGCCTCTTGTTGGCGAATTTGAATCCCTCCCCCAGTTTTAGGTTATCTTGAATAACATTGCTGTAAACATTCTTCTTAGTTGGAATGTTTAACTTTTTAGTAATACTGCATAGCCACAGCAGGGGGCGGGGGGAATGCATTTCATACTCTCAGAAACCCCAGACCAGAGTTTTAGTTCTTTTATATTCTTGCCAACACTAGAATTGCCATTCTGTTCATCTCAGCCATTAGAGTAAGTATGAGAATTGGATCTTTGTGATTCCAAACCTATGCAGCACTATAAAATTCTGAGATGGAGCTCCTGCTATATCCATGGTTCTCTGTCATGGATAGGAGAGACAGACTCCTGGCAGAAAGAATAGAAAGGGGCCCCTTAAGACAACTGGGTTCCAAGAAGCCTGCCTCCTCTATCACTTCCTGATTGGGTGAACTTGCCATTTTCTAGGAAAAGTGCTGTTGGAGAAAGCTCTCTTGTGGCTTCTGGTACAAAGGCATGCCAAGTGTGTGGCCAACGTGGTCAGAACCTGCGTAGAGTCAGCCCTGTTCTTTCCCGGAGTGGTTCAGCCAGACCATCAAAGGATGGGTCTGTCCCAGGAGGCACTGGGATCCAAAGGCATTGAAACCTTTTGACTGTGTTCCAGCTTGACCCTCTGCTAAGTCACTGAACATCTCTCCGCTTTCTTACTTCTCAATGCCTGCCTGTATTCGGTCTCACATAGGTCTCCTCCAGGTTCAGTGCTGTTTCTAGAGTGCCTGCTTCCTCAGTAGGACTGCTCCCCATGCTGATCTATTTAGTATTCATGAACAGGGGAGCCTCTTTGGTGTGGGAGAATTGTCTGTATTCTGTCAATCATATTTTAATAAAACGCTGATTGGCCAGGCAGGCAGTATAGGCGGGAAAGCCAGACAGGAAGTAGGGGTGGAGCAAAGAGACTGGGAGTATTCTGGGAAACAGGAAGCTCCCTCCGCCATTCCTGCGCAAATCACCAAAGAAGCAACATGTAAGCTGACAGCTGAAAAAGGTACCAAGCCATATGGCTAACATAGATAATGATAATGGGTTAAGATAAGTCATAAGAACTAATAAGTAGCCTGACCTAATGGGTCAATCAGTTTATAATCTTATGGAGTCCTGTGTGTGATTTCTTTTTGGGGCATGCCGGTTGTGGGGTACCAGGCGGGACGGATACCCCAACAAGCTGGCCCCTCATGTTACACCTCTTTCACTCCGTATTTTTATAAACAGTGTCCTCACAGAAGGTGGTCTCTCCAGGAATACCCTCCTTGCAAATCAGTCTGGCCGACTCCTCATCCCTCACAACTCAGCTCGAGCAATCCCTGTGCTGTAAAACCTTCTCTAGTGACTCTGCCATTCTGCTGAAAGGTGGGTGAACCGATCCTGTATTACCCACCTCCTCAGTCTACACTTACAGAGTGCGTGATAGGTGTGTAGCGGATTCTCAGTAAACACCTATTGATTGAGTGTATGAATTTATGGTAGAATGAATAAAGGAAGGAATCTTAAATGAAAATGAAACATAAAAATAATAATTAAATCACTGTCATCCATCAAAGTAAAGATATATATAAAGAATATATATGTATAAATATATATAAATATAAAGATATATACATATATATAAAGAAAAATATATGCCCTATGAAATAGCCAGGTGATACTCTCCTTTTTCTGTTTGTTTGTTTCTTGAAACAATATTTCATTAAAGCTGACATTTAACCGATCCCTGTTCCAGTCTCCTGAGTGCTAGTAATAGGTATGTTTTTATATATTACTATTCAAATACAAGCTGAGGAAGGGGATATTCAGTAGCAGTGAACTTCACATGCCACATTCAAGGTCCTAGGTTTAATCTCCAACACCAAATAAATAATTTGTAAAAAATAAGGATCATTAGAAGCTAGGCATGTTTTTATTCACCTCCACCCCAATACTCAGGAGACTGAGACAGGAAGATCATAAACTCAAAGTTAGTCCGTTTTACATAGTGAGATCCTGTTTCAAAAAAATAGTGAAAGAAAGAAAACAAACAAATGTAAGCTGAAGGAACAGATCAGAGAGAACAAAAATTTAAGGCTAGATTTTCCCTTCCTGTTAACTCTCCTGAGAACACTTACAGAGCTTCTTATTCGTTCACTCAAAGGTTATTAGTTATTAATGTGAGCTTATGTGTGCATGTATGGAAAGCGCAGAACAACTTTGTGAGCTGGATCTTCCTTCCAGCTTCATGTAGGTTCCGGCAGCAAGTTCAGGTCCACTTTACCTGCTGAGCCATCTCTGGTCTGGAAGTTACGGTGGCCCAGATAGACCTAGAATTCACTGTGCAATCCTCCTGCCTCAGACGCCTAAGTGTAAATCACTCATCTTGGTTACAAAAGTTTAACACATGTGCACTGTAACCAATTCAGACAGTACAGAAATATATAAAGGTAAATATTTCCTATATGAGTATATAAATATGTAATTATTTAAAAGGAAAACACTACTGTGCTTTGTGGTTTGTGTTCTATACATTGCTTTTTTATTTTGTTCAAGAGCATCATAAATAGATATATCATATATCTCCTTTTTTTGAGGCAAAGGTTCTCTGTGTAACAGCCCTGGCTGTCCTGAAACTCACTTTGTAGACCAGGTTGGCCTCGAACTCACAGAGATCCGCTTGCCTCTGCCTCCCAAGTACTGGGATCAAAGGCGTGCGCCACCACCGCCTGGCTATATCTCCTTGACACACAGTATTGCATTGAATGGTGCACAATAACTTAGATGTCTCCTAAGCCTGTGATAATATAGTGTATTCAGCATATTCTTTCATAAACACAGAGCCCAAAAAGAAAAGTTAAGTGACAGTTGGGGACTTGAGATGACAGGTTCATCACAGGATGCTATGAATCCCAGAAAAGACATAAATTAGAAAGCCTGTTTGACAGAACATGTCCCTCCAAGAACAAAACTGGAAGGCGTAAATGCTGCCTACAGAAAGCCAGCACTCGCCTCCCGCCAGGACTGACAGTTCACTGGCTGGGACAGAGAGGGGTCCAGGGTCCTCAGAAGAAGCATCCAGGAGCATAAACTTATATGTAACAAGCAGTTTGCTTTATATGAACAAATTGGTTTTGCAGAAACAGGAAATTTCTCTCATACTTTAAGTCTAAAAATAGAAGAAATATGCTGGATGCACAGGGATTTGGGGAATTTGCCTAATGCCGTGAAGTAACTTTTATGTGCATATTGAGTCTGGCAATCTCGACTTGAGCTATTATGCACTTCTCAGAAAGTCTTTTAGTGAGAATCAAGAATTTGCACACAGTAGTAGAATATGGAAGAAAATACTTGTAGAATACGACTGTTCTCAAAGGTGCAGGGAGCGGGTCCCTTTGCATACTGAGGGAAAGACTGTAAGGGACATGGTCTGACCTTGCTTCTCAGGCTGGCTTTCTGTTTCTGCCCAGTGCCCCATTTGGTTCCTTTCTCTGAATGGTGTTTCTTCCTCCCTGACCCCCAGGTTTCTGCACTGTAACTCTGCCTTCTCCACTTCTGTGCTCAGCAGAATGGAAGCTGCCCCTGGATACCCAGCGTCAACTCCTTTGCTGCATCTGTGACAACCCTGCCTTTTTTTAAATTTGCCTTTAGAATAGCCACCATAATTACAATAGCACATTGATTGGTGCGGCTACTGCTTGAAGTGATGATGCCTTCCACTAGGAAGCATGTATATTTCTTCATGGCTCAATTTCTAAGGCCTTATAAATGTCAAACATGAAATAGATATCTATTAAACATTTACTAAGGAAATGTTTTTAAAGGGTAATCTCTGTCAAAATTGTAAAGACATTATTGTGTGACTCAATCATCCAGATTAAACAGTCTGTCCTGCAAAAAAAAGTACACAATTGTACTAAGATTGTCATTGCAAGTATATTGGTTAATGAAATATCTGTATTAACAAAGGCTTAGAAATTGCCCACAGTGTGTACACTAGTCAATGGGATGCTATGTAATCATTAAAAATAATTAGCTATATAGTGATATGAAAATTGGAATAAGAAATTAAAAGACAAAGCTTGAAAGAATTTTTAAATCAGTGAAATGACTATATATTATAATAGCATATATATGACATGCCAGATATGATGGCTCATGCTGTTAATCCCAGCATTCAGGAGACTGAGGCTTAAAGAATCAGAGTTCAAGGTCACCCTTGGCTACATAAAACCTTATCTGAAAAATAATAAAAGCAAAACAAAATCTATGAGATATGTAACACCAACAGTGACCCTTGATGCAGACTGTGGATTTGAGGTGATAATGCTGTGTTGATTATCATTGTTACTATTATTAATATTATTATGTTGATAAGCACTGTTTATAACAGTTGAGAACTCTAACAAGTTCTATCATATATATATATATATATATAATCTTATATAGATATCTATAACTGTCACTTTAGTTAAGGTTATTAATAATGAAGGAAGCTATGCCTAGGGTAGGTGGGGAGTACATGAGGGAAAACAGGTTTTGAAGTACAGAAGACCTGAGGGTCTCATACATACTAGACAACTGTTCTACTAATAAGTTATATGCTTAGCCTTACCTTACTTAAAAAGCATTTATTATTAATGGAAGGGCATGTATGCCATGGCATCCATGCAGAGCTGGTTTTTTCTTTCTGTTTTTACATGAGATTCTGGAATTGAACTCAAGTCCTCAGGTTTGATCAGCAAGCGCTTTACTCACTGAACCATCTCAACAACCCTCTTTTTACTCGTTTGTTTTGAAAACGTGTCTCACTAAGTTGCCCAGACTTTCTCTGAATTTTTAATCCCCCTGTTTCAGGCCCCCAAGTATCAGGAGTTACAGACTGCACCACCAGGCCTGGTTTGCGAGTCTTGTAATTGCAACTCAATTTTATTCTGAACTTAAAACTGCTTTAAAACTATTTCTAAAATGGCCTAGGAGCCTTATGTAAGATTCAAACTATTTATTTTACATTGATATGCCTGGTGACTTGCACTTAGACTCCCAGTGCCGAGTAGGCAGAGATAGAATATTCCTGGGACTCCCTGGCTAGCCAGCCCACCCTAGTTCATAATCCCAGCCACTAATGAGAGACTGCCTCAGAAAACATGGTAGAAGTAATCTTGAGGAGGGAATCCTGGAGTTGGCCTGCAGCCTCTGCACACACACACACACACACACACACACACACACACACACACAAGATAATATTCACAATCTACAAAGTGTCTTGACCAATGCTAGAATGCTTGCCCAGCATGTCTGGGGTCTTGAGTTTGATCCCTAGAACTTCGGGAACAATGATTAGCACCCATGTCCTTCACTTATATTTCACTTTTCTACTACTCTTCTGATAGCAAGATCAAAATTTATTTTTTGGGTAAATCCAGTTTGTTTGTCAGTCTAAGGAAGCCTGACTCCTAGATGTACACTGCTAAGGTGTGTGTATATCTAGATGTTTTCTCTTTGTTGTCCTTCAGTAAAAGTGGCCCCTTCTGTTGGATCCACAGCCTCTAGGGCTAATTTAGGCACATGAGCAGAGGGATGCACAATTTCAGGAACTTTGGAATCTGTTTCATGGACCTGAGAGATTAGCTCTGACACCACTGGTGAGGGGCTCAGAGCAATAATAAGGAAGAAGAAAGGAATGGAAGGAGGGAGAGAAGGGAGAGAGAAGGAGGGAGGGAGGGAAGGAGGCAGACAGACAAGACCATCTGGGGAAGTTACTATCTACATTCTTCCCAAACTGGGTAACCGTAGGGTATTAAATCTTCATACACCAGTGTGCTTTAGCCCTACGAAACTAGGCTATGTTCAAGACTCTGTAGACTCTAGACTGTGAGAAATAAGAAAAAGAGCAATGCCAGACGGTGGTGGTGGCACACACCTTTAATCCCAGCACTCGGGAGGCAGAGGCAGGTAGATCTCTGTCAGTTCGAAGGCAGCCTGGTCTAGAAGAGCTAGTTCCAGGACAGGCTTCAAAGCTACAGAGCAACCCTGTCTCAAAAAACCTAAGTAAGTAAGTAAATAAATAAATAAGAAATAAGAAAAAGAAAAAGAACAGCTTGTTTTACAGCTTAGAGGTTCTGTTTGCAATGATGAAAGAGGTTGGGGTGAAGGGGCAAAGCAAGCTGCATAGCATATAAACTGCTTTACTTGAAATGAGTAAGGCCGCTGCCTTGGTGACGTGGGGCTTCACAGACCTAGAAGGATCTGTTTTCCCAACAGCTCGACACTGGCCCTGCTCAAGGCACTCGCACCGCAGCAGCTGCACTAAGCCATGAGCTCTCGTGGTTATTTTTATCTCAAACGCTCACTGGGACTCAGGCACCAGTATGTTGACTAAATCCTATTGTGAATCCCACGGAGATAAGTGGCGCATGGACACTGGAGATTATTTTTATTACATGACTAATTAAGACTCCTGCCCCCATTAAGAATGCAATTCTTTACTAAAAGCCCGGTCAGAGAACTCAGCCATGGGCAGGTAGCCTCAACAAGAATTCCTGCCTCGACTTACTCCTTCTAGCTCACTGCCCACCTGGCTGCTTGGTGGAGGATGACTGGCTGGTTCATGGAGTCAGGGCAATATTCTTGCCACTCTCAGAAAGACTCCTTAAACCCCAAGTGTGGCATACACAACTTTGACCCGCAGGGTCCTCCTCACAGTGCCCACAGGCCATTGCACTCAATCTGTCCTTTCCCTGCCAGCCTTGTGGGAGCGTCTTAGCCTCTGTCCCATTTCACCACCAGCCCAGCAGAGGCCGCCAGAGTGACGCAGATGAAAGGGTCCAGGAGCAGGCACAACTTCCCAAACTTCTCAGTCCAAAGTATCCAGCTAGGCTGGGCAGTCCGGGTATCCTCCTTGAAGTCCCCTTGCCCTTCTCAGAGAAGAAAACAAGGCCAGCGTAATCTCATTGCGTTAAAAATATGTTTATTATTTAATGTTTAAGCATTAATGTTAAAATTCCAAAACAAGATTACTAAAACTAGGTGAGTAAGATGACTCAGGGGGTAAAGGTCACCAAACCTGATGGCCTGAGTTTGACCCCCAGGAACCTACATAGTAGAAAGAGAACTGGTTCCTACAGATTACCCTGTGACCTCTATACAGACACACACAGACACACACACACGACAAAAACTATTAAAGTTGTCATATATTTCAACAGTTATCACTTAGTAAAGTTGTGACACAAACACACACTATACCTCCACAGTCACACGTGTTCCTGGGTGTCCCTCCACATACGCTGTACTCTAACATAGCAGTAGTCATACATGTTCCTGGATGTCCCTCCACATACGCTGTACTCTAACATAGCAGTAGTCATACATGTTCCTGGGTGTCCCTCCACAGTCACACGTGTTCCTGGGTGTCCCTCCACACACGCCGTACTCTAACATAGGAGTAGTCAAATGGCCCCTCCTAGTGACGTTCTCATTCTCCAGTACACAGTGGCCCAGGCCACTGAGAGACAGTGCAACCGTTGCTGTGGAAAATTACTGTTTTAGTTGCAGTTTTTTTGTCTGTTTGAGTTGGATTTTGCTTCGTAATACTCTTGCTATTTGGTACAGGTTGGTCTCAAACTCCTGGGCCTCAGTGATTCTCCCACCTCAGTCTCGAGAGTGTCTGGACTGTAAGTATCCTCCATGATGCCAGACTTGGAAAATGTTCTTTGCTGCTTAAAGCATATAGATCAAGGGCTGAAGAGATGGCTCAGTAATTAAATGCACTTGTTCTTCCAGATGACCCTACTTCGGGTCCCAGCAGCTCACAACCTCCTGTAACTCCAGTTCAGAGGCACCTGCACTCACGTGTACACACCTATACACACGCACAATTAAAAATCACAATAAAAGCTTGGTGGTGGTGGTGGTGCACACCTTTAATCCCAGCACTCTGGAGGCAGAGGCAGGCGGATATCTGTGAGTTCAATGCCTGCCTGATTGACAGACTGAGTTCCAGGACAGCCAAGGCTACATAAAGAAAAAAAGGCAATAAAAATGTTCTCATTGGGATAGACAAAGGGAGGACAGATACCCTATCCTGGGGCTGTTCTCTGTACAAGCGGCTATCACAGAAGTGCCTCTCCTTAGGTTCCCAGAATCTTTTCCTGTGTTTGTATTTGTTTTGTCAGAGCAAAAAGTCTTCCCGGAAATCCTCCAGGGAGACACTGGCCTGAAGCGCACATTCCACCCACTCTACCTCAGTTCTGGGCCAAAACAACAGGAAGTTACCTTCCCCAGAGCCCAGGGTCTTGCCCTTAGGCAAGAGGATGCTCACAGTCAGCCCTGGGACTGCCTCCTGTGAAGAGCAATAATTTCTCAGAGTAGAAAACAACAATAAAAAAGAAATGGGGGTTTCTCTTTGTTTTGCTTTTTTATTATTATTATTTTTTAAGATGAGCTCAGCTATGTAGCTGTGGATGGCCTGGAACTCAAGAGACCCAACTGCCTCTACCCAAGCACTGGATAAGATATATGCCACCTTGCCTGGCAAAGTTTGCCATTTGTAAGGGATATTTGAAAAACTGCAGGAGTACAAAGAAGAAAATAACCATAAGAGGCTGAGGATGGGTCAGTGGTGAAGATCACTTGTATTTGCTGTAGGAAAATGTGTTTGATGACAGGGCCTGCCTCCCTCTATTGGGTGCTATGGAATAAATAGCATATTCTCACCATTACCTAGTTAAGATCTGTAAAAAAACCTAAATTCCAAATACATATGACCACAAAGGCTTTTGTTACTAATTGGGGTTCAAACTGAAGGCTATAAAAACAAAGCAACCAACCACTAGAGAGCTCTTACCTCTACAAAATCTTCAGACTGAAAAGAGAGTGAGTTCCTGTCTCATCCCACTTTTTTTTTCCTCTCTAGTGCTGGAATTAAAGGTGTGCACCACCACCACCGAGGCTCTGTGGCTAACTAGTGTGGCTGCTGGGATTAAAG